CATTCGACGAAAACACTATATTGTACAGGGTGTACCGCGTAAAACAGGCTACTTAATTGTCTTCTCCAACTATGGTGGTAGTAGAAAATTTTTACAGATAATTTTAGTAATTTCAAAGGGTGAATAAGATGGAAGAAAAATTTTTTGCTGAAAAAAATAGCAAAAACTGAAAGAAAATTTCACATTTAATATAAAATTTTGGAGTTCAAGGCTATTTTAAGATCGCATTGTTATTTTATGTAAATTATGAAAAAATTTTTCTTCCATCTTATTCACCATTTGAAACCATATAAATTGCGTATAAAAATTTTCTCGTACCGCCACAGCCAGAGAGAAGATAATTAACCGGTCCATTTCACATCGTTCACCCTGCACTTTCGCACAATTCACTTGAAACAATGGTAGAACGATCTGAGACGAGAATAATGCCCAACCTGGAAACGCGACGAAAAAAGAAGAATAAAAATAATACGTTATTAAGAAAAGCATTGGGAAGCAGAATTTCTCAGTGTCGATTCTTGTCCTCCACCGTATAGTCCCATGGGGTTATAAGCTAGAAATACACATTTGTCTGTGACGTGCAAGTCGAGCGAAGGGCACCTTGATCGACACTTTAATTGGACCAAGACACCGAGGCACCAGGAACGTGGACGGCCCTGGAGAATTTACCAGGCTTTACCGAATGAACGAACGATGAAACGAGACAAAATCAGAGCAAGAGGGAAGGAGGCGAGGCAGAAGGAGACGGGGAATGGCGGTGGTGAAAGAAAGAGCGAGAGAGAACGAGGGACAGTTTGCGGAGGCCAGGCGCCTGATTACTAGCCAGCTCAGGACGCCAGACATACATAACTAAATAACTTCCTAAATTCTATATCATTTCGGAGCGGGTTCCAACGGTGAAATAACGCGTCTAGACATCGCTGAAGAAAACGAACACGGCGGCGGCAAAAAAAGAGCGAGCTTTAATGCATCAAGACGCTGATTTATTCTCCCGAGTCATTTTCAATATGGACTCCGGTGAAATAAATTAACGGCGCCTCCGTTAACTTCCAGGAGGACAGGATCGATTCAAATTTTCTTATCTTTCGAGAAACCGATGACAAATAGCCGGATAATTCGAACGAGAGAAATCTTTTTACGTCCGTCAGGTTTTCGTCCAACTGGTTTCTCGCTATCCTAGATAAAATGTGAAAATTGAAAAGATACACGAACCCTGAGGATTGACGAAAAAGTTGGAATAAATTTATCGTAGAAATATTCAGTTTGCATTATTCAAGTTTCAAAATTTAATTCATAAAAACTATGCAAGGTAGAATTGTTCCTATTTTCATCTAAAAAAAAAAATATCTATGAAAATTGTGATAACACTTGATATTTCGTTTGAACAATTTTTCTTAATCCACTTTTGAACAAAAGGATAGGAACATAACCTTAAAAAAGGATGAATTGTGTTACAGATTCACCGATGACCTCGCAAGCATTCGTTCCTGCGGACTGAATCTAAAATCGCGTGAGTATATACGAAAGAAGCGTATCGGTATTATTCAGAACGGAAAGCGTCATCTAGAAAGCGACGGGCAAATTCTTTTCTGTCCGAACGGGGTCCGTTCTTCTTTAACATTCTTTCGTCATTCGACGACGATGACACGCTGAACGATCGTCTCCTATAGGAGAGATATCATGACTGAAATTCGTCTTGGAATGTTGACCCTCGGGGTGGAACACTTGTCGGTGACTGGCGCTGGCGCTACGCAGAGGCGCTGGCGTCAGTCTGCTCGGCCGCTCAAGTAACCACGACCGACCGGCTGACGCCCCCGTCTTCAGACGAGTCCACCTTGCGCTTTGCCCCCCTTCTTGCCTGGGCGAAACTCCCCCCGCCCTTGTTCACTTCTTTCCCTCAGCCACTGTCATCGCCACCTTCTCCTTCCACCGCTTATCCTGCTCCACAACGTGTTCCAGTTGCACAGATTGTGGACCAGAGGGAGATCCATGATCGATTGGTCCGAGAGCATTGAAAGTTTACCCGTACGGTTCAATTAGTTTAGGGATATATCAATTAATTCGCGGTTTATTCGCGGTGAAGAGAAAAAGTAAGCTTAAAGCTAATTGGAGGAAGTATTTTTAACTTGGTATGCTATAATGTTTCAGGATTTTCGATTTCGTTCATCGATTCGTTGAATCCAGAGAGGCAACTATCAAATAAGAATACGACTTGTGTAGACTGGCTTAGCGAGATTTTTTGTAACGAACATGTCTAGACATTCTTTATCGATCATTTGTATGTAACGTGAATGTTTGCATTCCATTGTTGGTATGCGAATAGTATATGCGAGCGAAGTAGACGAAAAGGGAGAAAAGAGATAGTATAATTTTGAAAAGAACGATCGCGATGCATCTGCGGTGCACGGTACGTACGAGTAGCGCCGCTAGTGGCGCCTCTCGCGGTGAGAGCGGGAAATAATGGCGCGGCGGCGACGGCCATGTTTAACAATCTCCCTTGTGTGTTTAGTATGCTGCGGTCGGTGTATCGGCGCGCCGAGACGAGACGGACGGGACGAGACGAGCGACGGCGGCGACGAGGAGGTGGAGGAAGAGGCGGTGGAAATCGGTGTGTGCGCTCATGACGGAGACCTCGTGCGTACCAGTCGCGTCGTCGAGCAGAGCCGAGTCGAGTCGTGTTACGGCTGTAATCGTGGTTGTTCTTCGCAACAGTTTGCCCCGTGACGACGTTCAGTATCTGTGCGCGAAGGCAAGAACAACAGCTAGTAAAAGAATTTGAAACAGTTGAAGTCAAGTGTAACATTGCAGCGAGATTGAGCGTTTTTTTTTCAAACTTTTTTATCATCGGCCTGAGTACGTATCGAAGTTTTAAACGTGCAACCGAAGCGCTACTCTCGTTCGACCTCTCTCGCCCTCCGCGAGTTATATATCCGATCTGTGTGCACTAGCCCTCCCTACTCTCTTTTTCTCGGTGTGTATTTTGCTCTCTCTCCTGTCGGTCTGTCTTGCTCTCGCGTAATCCCTCCCCGTTAGTGTCTCGTTCGTTCTCGCTAGCTCTCCGGGCAGCGATTTCAAGAATGTGACAGTGCGCGTCCTCGCGGTCGCCTCGCGCGAATAAGCCCGCAGGCCGGCGACGGCGATGGGTGACGAGCGACAAGTGTGTTACGGTGAACAGTGAGAACAGTGAAGAGGTAGGGAGAGAAAGACGGACGATGCAAGCGGAAAATGTCACTCGGTGATACGCGTATACGGATGACGGGGAGTGATCGACGCGACAATCTCGGATTTGAGGTTAAAGTGTCGTCGTCGTCGTCGTTGTTGTTATGTGGTGCCGGTGCGCCGGCATTGGCGACGGCACGGGCAAAGGAGTATCAAGAACGAAAACGGCACTATCGTATTCTACAGGGCTTAAGCGCCCGTGATCCGAGGGACATTGATCAAGCGGCGTGGTATACCGTTGCCAGACTCGTTTCTTAAAAAGAAACAAGCGAAAAAAAGATTCGCAACGATACAAAACAATTTTTTCGTTAAGGCGATCGCGCCGCTGTACGTATTTTATACGCGCGCGCGTGTGTGTGTTTGTGGTAGTGTGCCGGGTCGCGAGGTTAAGGCACCACATCGCTGTCGATATATACAACGTCGAAGAAAGTCAAGAACCGGTGTCGTGTGTGCGCGCGCGACCGATTCGTGCTGCTACATCCAACGGATAAGAAGTGTATCGTGATACTAATAGTGCGCGTCCGTAACCCCGCCGGCGACCGTTGCACCGTGCACGTCCACGGACAACCGAAGCTGACGTCCGCGAACCGTCGAGACACCAACAGACAGAGAATCCTCGTGTGCCTTTTCAAACCTCTGTATTATGCACTACGCCGTTTCTTCGACCGGGTACAAATCGTCCAGTAATTCAACTCTTCCGACGGCAACAACACGTTCGGCAGCAGCTTCACCGATCGGACACGTTTTCTACAGTGCCGTTACGGTGTCGTTGAATCGTAGATAAACCGTGGCAAACGTTTCGCAACTTGATTCGGCTAGAAAGGGGGAGAAAGAAGAGCGGGAAGAGAATTCGTTCGAAAGGTATGTGCCGCGAGAAATGAAGAGACGCTTCAGCTGATCGAGATCGTCGCTCAACGAATTGGCGTGTAGTTGCCTGCGTACGTGCAAATGGCGCGCGCGCGCACGCTGCTCGCGTCAACCAATCAGCCGGCCAGTTTCTGTATACAGTGGCACATAGGTAAATGAGAGTTCAAGGTCAGCAGACGGTATTCGACCTAACCTCGTTTACGCGTTCGAAAAAGTTATCGGCACGAAGAGCACTAGGGTAAAGGTATTACCCCCCTCTCCCTGTTATTCTAGTTCGGTCCGCCGTCGCTTGCCACGCGCCATCGCCGGTTCAAAATATTCTCACTCTCGCGAAA